CACAAGTTCTACTGAGTAATTTCTGAGTTCTGATGGAGAAAACATAAGTAGAGGCTTCAAAAAGTCAACATGGAAAGTGCATAATATTTGAATTATGTATCGGTAAAGCTATTTGAAGAAACAAAATCAAGAGGCTGAGGATGTGGCTCAGTGGTAGAGCTCTTCCCTTGCATGCACAAGGCCCTAGGTTTGATCCTCAGCATCACAAAAAAGCAAAAGGAAGCAAGCAAGCAAGCAAGCAAGCAAGCAAGAAAGAAAGAAAGAAAAAGAAAATCAGGGCTAAGTGGTAGGTTACTTGCTTAGCATGTACAAGACTGGATTCACACTCTAACACTGAAAACAAGTAAAGAAAAAGAAGAAAACACCAACATGGACTCAGCAGCCAGAAATTGTTTCTAAGTATCACCATTTTGCTAAAAGGAAGTAAGACTCCTTGGACAAGTGACAGGTCCTAGAGCTTGGGCAAAGAAAAGAAAAGATGAGACTGGAGAATCTTCTGATGCCAGGAATGAAGAAAATACTAAAGGAGCTAAAACAAAAGGAGCTAAACTGAAGGATCACCCTATTGGCTGCAGATGGAATAATACAAGCAATAAAGTAAATAATGTAGAATTGGGTTATGATCTTATGCATAAAATAAGTCTTGTGTATAAAATAAATCTGACATAAATGAATGATTGAATATGTGAATAAAAGAATGGAATGAGACAAATCTTCCTTACAGAATCCAGGAAATGTATGTGTATGCTTCTCCTCCACAAGTCTCAAAGCAAGTGGAGCTTAATCCCTGCCGTGCCCTCCTGAAGGTGATCTGGACATAGTGATGCTTTTGCAAAGAATGCAGTGTAGAAAGGGGAAATAGTAAATTTACAGTGGAAAGACCTGGCAGATGCCCTGTAAGCAAGGGATCAAGATTGACATCAAGAGTGACGAGCGATATTGATGTCACGTGGGCCCTGTGAAGATGGGATGACAAGGACACTTCATCTCTGTGATCTTCTTCCATATCTTTAACCTCCATCTAAAAATGAAAAAAAAATTCAGACAGATCCAAATGTAGGGACATTTTACAAGATTCCTGAATGGTGTTCGTCAAGCTATTCGGGTTTTTCTGAACAAGGAAACCAAACAAGGAAAGACTGAGAAACAGTCACAGACCCATGGACCAGAGGAGACTAAGGAAAAGCAGCGTGGGATGCTGGATGGAGCCTGGATGAGGAGAAGATATTCATGGGAAAACGGTGAACTCCAAATAAAACCTCAAATTTAGTATATAGTGAAGCACTGGTATCAATCTCCCAATTTTGATAAATGTCTCAAGGTCATGTAAGATGATATTATTAGAGAAAACTGGGTGAAAGATAAATGGAAATTTTCTGTATTTTTTTATTTTAAAGAGAAAAAATAAAAACAAAATAACAAAAACAAAACCACACAAAAACAGTAAAAATGATACAGAATTTCAAAACAAGATGATAGGAAATTAATAATGCTTGTTGTGTTACATATTGTTATCTTCAGAGTAGTTGCTCAGACTACCAGATATAGGAATGCAAGGTTGATCAAACAATTCAACATTAACTGTTCCTTTCAAGAAACCAATAGAAATGAGTAGTACTATTATCTTTGCTATTTTTTTTTGTGTATATATATTTTTCCCTTCCTTTTTTTTCTTTTCTCTTTTCCTTCATCCCAGTTGTTGTTTCCATTTGAGTGGTTTCTTTCCTTTTCACAATATCTATTGTACCTTTCACACTTTATTTACTCTTTCAGGTTCTTACACTAGGTAGACAATACAATGCTTACACATGCAGGTCTGATTTATTTCACTTATGAGTATGATCCCTAGTTGCATCCATTTACCTATAAAAGCCTCGAGCTTATCTTTGTTTATAGCTGAGTAATACTCCATTGCATAAAAATACCACATGTTTTTATTTGTTCCTCAGTTGATGGGTGTTTGAGCTGTTTCCAAGATTTACTATGACAAATTGCACTGCTATAAACACGGGTGCACATATATCACTGTGGTATGATGTTTTCAGTTCTTCTGGAAAAATACCCAGAAGGGAAATAGCTGGGTTAAATGGGACCTCTAATCCTAGTTTTCTGAGGAATCTCCAAACTGTTTTCCACAGTGGTTGCACCAGTTTACACTCCCACCAACAGTGGAGAAGAGTTCATTTTTTTCCCCACAGCCCCTCCAGCATTTATTATTGGTTGATTTTGATAGCCATTCTTTCTAGGGTGAGATGTAATCTCAGTGTTGTTTTGACTTGCATTTCTTGATTGACCAATGATGTTAAACATTTTTTCATATATATATTTGCCATCTGTATTTTTTCATCTTAGAAGTGTATATTCATCTCAGATGTCCATTGTTGGATTTGAATTTAGGGGGACCTGATTATTTTAAATTCTTTATATGTTCTAGATAAAAGTCTTTTGTCTGAGGGACAATTGGCTAAATTTTTTTTCCCAATTTGTGGGTCTGTACTATTTTTGTAAGTTTTTTGTAAATGTAATATTATTGTCAAGTAAAAAGTATATTTAAAATATAAAACATAATAGAAAAGTCAGGAACAACTGACAGTGTGTGGAGCAACTAGAATTTTCATACATTGCTGGTAAGTATGTAAAGTGTAGAACCAGTTTGGAAAACTATTAAATATGTGCCCATCATACAACTCAGCCATTGTACACCTAGGCATTTACCCAAGAGAAAATAAAATATGTGTGAAAAGACCTGTATAAGAATGTTCATAGGCATTTTATTCACAATAGACAAAAATCAGAAATAATCATCAATGAATGAGTGGATAAACAAACCATGGCATATCCATATGATGAACTACCAGTCCGCATTAAAAAGGAATGTTAAAAAGGTACAGGGATTATCTGGGAAGGGAGGAGAGGAAATTCTCTGAAGGGCAGGTTTTATATATTGATTGTGGTGGTAGTTACTTAAGTAGGTGCATACATGTACCAAGACTTCCCAAACTGTGCATTTAAAATAGGTACATTGTTGGGGGGAAAGTTGCTCAAATGGTATGAAATTTCAGTTAGAAGCCAGGCACAGTGGCCCATGTCTGTAACCTAGCACTCTGAAAGGCTGAGGTGAGAGGATCGAAAGTTTGAAACCAGCCTGGACAACTTAGTGACTTAGTGAAGACCTGTCTCAAAGTAAAAAATTTAAGAAAAAATCTGGGAATGTACCTCGGTATGAAGGCCTTGAATTTAATCCACAGTACCAAAAAAAAAAAAAAAAAAAAAAAAAATTCAACTAGATAGGAAGAATATGTTTAAGAGATCCATTGTATAAATAGTGACTATAGTTAGTAGTCATATATTATATTCTTGAAAATTGCCAAGAGAATAGTTTTTAAGAGTTTTCATTACAAAAAATAAGTATGTGAGTGGTGCATATGTTAATTAGCATAGTGTAGCCATTCTACAATATGTACATATTTCAAACAGCACATCCATGATAAATATATGCAATGGTTCGTCAATTTAAAAATTTTAAATGATTTTAACCATAAAAATTAAAATACATAAAATGAAATAAAATGGGCACATCATGTGTAAATTATAGCTCAATAAACTAAATTAAGAGGCACGATGATTAATTTTATATGTCAACTTGGCTAAACCCAAGTACCCAAACATTTGGTTAAACATTATTCTAGATATTTCTGGGGAGGTAGTTATTAGATGAGATTAACATTTTAATCAATAAATTTTGAATAAAGCACATTGCCTTTCATAATGCACCCAGGTCTTATCAAGTCAGTTGAATGCCTTAAGAGAAAAAGATTTGACTTTCTCTAGAGAAGATGTAATTCTGCAAGCTGATTGTCTTTGAACTTGCACTGCAGCTCTTCCTGCTGACTGGCCTATCCTGCAGACTTTGGGCTTCCTACTTGCCAGCACAATCATTCCTTAAATTAAGACCTCATTCTCCATCTCTTGCTCTCTCACTCACTCTCCCCTATTTTTCTGTAAAACCCTGATTGAGAACTCTTCCCAGTGATTCTTACGGCCTTGTTGGAGATAGAAGACCAACATGGCCACAGAATCAACACAAGAACGAGTCTGAAATCTCTCCTCATTTCTCACCTCAGGTTTCTCTGCCTGCAAGATCAATCTTTGGTGAATGATTCAGAATTATTGGGGGATTTGGGGTTTATGGAGAATACTGAGTTCTTTTGATTCAGTTAAAAGATGCTGTCAGAATGCACGGTCTGACTTCTGACTCGTTTGCAGATTCACTCAAAGTGGTTCTTGAGCTTGTCTCTTAACTGTCATCAACAAGTTAACCCTTCCAGACTTGATTTGTGCAATACTCTATTTTTAGGCCTTTGCAGAAATATGTTCCCTTTGTCTCTGTGACAGGCCCCCCATGGGGAGAACCAGGTGGTATAAATATGTCCAGAGAAGCCTGAAGTTTTCTCACCTTTCTGCTTTGATTTTACTGAGCTCTGGCAACCCTAATTGATGTAATACTTCTGTCTCCTTGGGAAAGTTTGCTGTGTCCTGTTTTACAGATCGCTTCTGCAATTGGTTTTTCATCCACTTCTAATTTGTATAATCTTTATAGTAGTAATTTTTGATTCTTTATAACATAAGTGTTCCTGATTCCAAGGCATTTATACAAACACTGTTGGCAAATGAGATTCGTTTTGGTAACCCCACTTTTATTCTGACATTAAAATTTTATGTGGTAAGTATTCTTGTTTCAGAGAAAAATCTCTCTGGTTTCAGAGAGAAATGTTTGGTGTGTCACCAAACATTTAGTTAACAAAGGATTTTGCTGGGAATCTGTATGCTGAAAAATTCAATAGGACTCTAAGGGTACAAAGAGCCAAAAAAACTTGAGTGTTTGTCCCATATTGATAACTACTGCGGTTTTGCTTATGGACATGTACCAACTTGGCAGGTTTAATTACATTTGTATTGTAGTCAATGCTGCCTCTTAAAAATATGCTTTATCTCCCCAGGGCAAATCATACCCCTTCAAGGGCCCATTCCCACCTGTATGGAATCCAATTACCTACCTAGACCATAATAACCTTTGGAGGACAATGGATGATATGGGGCAAGAGGTAAATTACCTAAAGTGTCTTTGACTGCATTGATATTTTTCATAATAAGTTTAATCCTTAAGAAAAAGAAAGTGCAATGTATCCCTCACCTCCTGTGCCTAGCCTGTTGCTGAGTGCATAGTAGCAATCAGTAAAAATCTGTGAAGCAAATGGATGAATGAACCTGTTTCTCACTTCTAAAGAAATGAGGTGTCAGAGAGCCTGCCATTGTAAACTATTGGTGAGCGAGGAGAAGTCTGTGCATCACTCAGTCTTCCTGGGGTGATGTTTCTAATTTAGAAACTCTTTAGGACACAACAACACAAGACATCCGGGTCTTTGATTCTCCACCATGTCCAAACCCGCAGCCCACACATGTGAAGTTTAAGTGAAAACTTCTATTTAGAAGTGACTTGGTACAGCTGTCTAAGCATTGTTAAGGAGTTATATTTGTGAATATTCTGTGTAAGTTAGCAACTTTAGTGAGGTTGTGCCTCTTTCTCCATGGTTTCACTTTCCAGTTTCAGTTACTCATTGTCAATAGCAGTTAGAAAGTGCTAAATAGAAAAATTACAGAAATAAACAGACCACAGTCACATAACTTTTATTACAGTATATATCTAAATTATTCTATTTTATTATTGTTGTTAATCTCTTACTGTGATCAAGTTTTGAATAAAACTTAATTGTAAGTATGCATGTATGCGGAAAACATTATGTATGTAGAGTTCAGTATCATCTATATTTTGAGGCATCTACTTGGGATCTTGAGTGGGTTAGGGAGAACTACTGCAATCCACATTTGGAAGAGGCTATTTATAACACACCTCCATTTATTGTGCAGGAAGTGTTACTGTAAATGAAGTATGGATCGGGTGGTACAGATCTATAACAGCAAAGCTACACAGACAACGTTGTTTATGAGGTGAAAGATACTATGGGGGGAGTTTGAAAACACATTTTTTCTTGTTTAAGTCAGAGAATTTCAAATAATGCTTGGATGGTTATTGAACATGGAAATTACCTTTGTCTTTCACCTTCGACTCTTGATCTGCATTTAGATCCCCAGTGATGCCCCATGGAAGGCCCCCCTTGCGGAAGAGTGGGACCACATGACCATGAAGGAGCTGCTGAACAAGATCTGCTGGACTAGGTAAGACCCACCATGGGGCACAGGCGTTTACTGTGACCATCTTTTAGGTTTATTTAGCGGTAGCATTTATCGGGGATGGGCTCTGTGTCTCAAGTCACACCACTTGCCAAGTGAAATGTTGAAAAATATTGGAACCAGGTGCCAGTCTAAAGACAGCTATGCATCCAGCTTATTTCTTTGAAAGAGTCTTGTGTCATAAAGATGGTATTGTTATCAGCCACTCAGATTCATATGTTCAGGTCCACTGCTCACTGCTGACCAAGCCAAATGAGGCCAGTTTGGTGAAAAGGAAAAAGGCTTTATTCAAAGCTAGCTCTAAGGAGGTAGAGGGACCTCATTTGCCTCAAATCACCATCTCCCCGTGTGCAGATGTGCAAGGGTCTCTTACAGCAAAGAACAGAAGAGAGGGAATGCAATGAGATAATATACATCCCAAGCTCGCTTCATCTCTCCTGTACCCCGACCTTTTGGAGCCAACATTTGCCTATTCTGTTTATGTAGGCTGGGGGAGGGGCTTTGTTTATGCCCTTAGCACGAGGAAGTTTGGCAAAGCAGAACTTGTGGCTCCAGCATCTGCATATTCCGTCCATTCCTCTGGGCTGAGGAGAGGGGGAGATGGCATTTATGCTCTAGACTTAAGGCAGGTCTGGAGAAGCTACTTGTCTCTAAAGGCCTTTAAAGTTCCCTTTTATCTTGCTGGTTTCAGTATTACCCCATAAAGTCCTCAGAACAGACCAGAATGGGCTACCTCCTTTCTCTAGAGCAGTGTAAAGGCCATCAGTACAAAGATCTCATTTATCAAGTTGTCACTGTAGGGATATTTTTGTACTCCTCACTGGTGGTCAACTGCAGAGATGATTATCTTATGCATTTGGGACACCTTTTGTGATGTGCAACTCTTTAAGGATTTGAATGGAAGCTTCTAGGTATTTCACAACTCTACAGGAAAACATGTGACTGGACCTACAGCTGCCCTTTAATGGAAAACCTGTAGTGTTGAAAGCAACACTGTAGTGTTGAAAGCAACAATTTATGAGTCAAATTGAAATTCTTGTTAGTGGCACTGGAACCTCTATGCAAATTGTGGAGGCCTTTTAGACAGATGACACGAAAAGTCCTCACTGCTCTTGGTTAGCAGGGAAAGTGGAAAGGATTGTGGGGGGTTCCAGTTCAAGCACATGATGAGTTTGTGGTTTACAAAAAAGAGAGAAATGGAAGGCAAATCTAAGGAGACTGACCATTTATGCTAAACAGCAGTAGTTGAAGCCAGGTGTGGTGGCACACTCCTGCAATCTCAATATTCTGGGAGGTTAAGGCAGGAGGATCCCAAGTTTTAGCCCAGCCTGGACAACTTAGGAATTTAGCATAACCCTGTCTCAGAATTTTAAATCAATTGTTTTGAAAGACTGGGGATGTAGCTCAGCGTGAAGATCCTGGGTTCAATCCTTACTACCACAAAAATCAAATCAAAACAAAACAAAAAGCAGTAGTTGCAAATATGTTTGGTTCTGGGGTTGATGTCATCATTCTCAAAGTACTGGAGAGACAAGTAGGACACTGAAAATTAACCATGGAAACATTTTTAGGTATATCTAAATCTATGATGTAGAAATAACTAAAAGATATGAAATTACATACTTGTTGATATAAAAATTCAGCTTCTAAGAATTACGCTTAGAACTCAGCTTTCAAAGGAGAATAAAAATGAGGGTTGCAGCCCATAGGGATGGAGAGAGACAAAGGCAATTTCAAGCAACACTTTTAAAAGGAAAAAGAAAAAGATCCAGTAGTAAAAGACTTGCTAAGTAAATTATAGGTTATCTCAATGATGGAATACTCTAGAATCATTTAAAATCATGTTGTAGAGGAATATTTAATGACTTGAGAAATAATAATGTTAAGCACATAGGAAAGAGGACAAACTATCATGAAATATGTACAGTGGCACATTTAATTTCATTCCTAAAAATAAAGCTGTTTTCTATGCACTGTAAAAACAGTGGCAATCTATCAAAATGTTTCTAACATTTAATATTACAATGTAAACATTTATGTTAAAATAGTTTAGAAGCATTAAATCATTGAAAAGTCTTCGCCAAACATCATATTTCATAGTTGTGGAATATTCCATGGAAAGTGAATACCATAATATATGTGTCCATCATTCTGTTGGTCATCTTGGTTACTTCTGCTTTTTCATTATTGTCATTATTATTGTATAAAACTCTGTAATAAACATCATCATATTTCTCCTATGTCTTCAGGTTTTGAAAGCAACCCACTCTGGAATAGTAAAATCATTTTATGTTACAAAATCAATGCCTATTATGAATTGCATCCTTTTAAACCCTTATGTCATGTTATTTAACACTTTTTACAGGAATGTAGTTTGTAATGTAACTTATTTTGATTGTAATCAAATTGTATTTATTTATAATTCTATACTATAGTTTCTCAGACTGCAGTGAGTATACAGTTACCTGCATTTGTTTTATAACTTCTTTTATGAAAAGCTTTTCATGAATTTAGTTTGACTTTTTTTCCCCAGAGAGTTGCTAAGCTCCCAGAAGTTAGAGCCAACTGTATTTGGGATCATAGAGATCTGAAATTTTCTAACCCAGCCCTTGGTCTCCTTCTCCACTTAAATACTTTAGGTTGTTCACTAACTAAATGAAGCATTTTGGGAAATTAGGAGTATGCTAACAGAAGGCAATTTTCTAAGCAAGATACACATAGGTTCATTTGCTGGTTTTATGAAAGGCATCCCCAGAATGTCCAACCTATTGTGATTCAAACTAAAAGACAAGTATACATTTAAAGACAAATGTCGATCATTTTTTAGTTGCTGTCATTTTATAAAATGCTCTTCAGAAACACATATTTTAAATGTGATTACAAGTAGGTGATCATTTTTAGAAAACCTGTATGTAGGAAAACGCACATCAAATGAGACTAGTAATTATCTTTTGGAGAAATGCCATATTTCCCCCAAATAAGACTAGGTCTTATATTAATTTTTGCTCCAAAATACTCAGTAGGGCTTAGTTTCAGGGAATGTCTGATATTTCATGTACAACAATCTATATTTACTCATGTACAAAAATCTACATTTATTCAAATACAGTCGTGTCATCTTCTGGAACAACGTGATAACACTGAAAACCTCAAATTCCAGTCTGAATTTCTTGTGACTCCATTTCCTGTAGAACCATCAGCCTCCATCGCTCATGTCCAGCAATAGAGTTCTCCTTAAACAACCACTTCTTGTCTGTGTGCTTGCTCGTAGTGCATTGGCAACACAGCTGTCAGTGATTTTATCCCATGAAGTCTGCACCCAAGACATGACCTCTTGCAGGCTAAGCTTCACAATTTTCCATTAAATCAAGTGTTAATTGACTTATGAGACAGGAGTGGCAGCAAAAATGGTGACAGTTAAGAAGGATGGTCCACACAAAAGTGATGAAAACTTGCCGGCAGTAAAATTCAGAAAACCTTTATTTCACATGAGTACATTAAGTACATCTGTTACAACACACAACATATTGAATTATGAAGACTCATATTGGACACAGCTACATCCATTTGCTATCAAGTGTGCATGTTGTTCATGTGTTGTGGCTGTACTCCAATTGGTCATTTGGCAGTGAGTCTGGAGTTTGTCTGTTTTCATAAGGATTTACCTATCAGCCAAAGCACCCACTTGAGAATTTTAATATTATTATTCAATATATCCATCATGTGTTGCAGTGGATGTGCTAAATGCGTCCGTCTGATTGATAATCTTAATGGGAGCTTATTTTATGAGCATCCTTAAAAATCATGCTAGGGCTATTTTCCAGTTAGGTCTTATTTTGGGGGAAGTACAGTATGAAGTATACTTGTATTGATCAGCTTTTTGTCGTTGTGACCAAATACCTAACATGCACAACATAAAGGAGATTTTTGACTCACAGTTTTGGAGGGTTCAGTATAAGCTGGGCTGGCTCCAGCCATGATGTCTGACACCATGATGAATGGATGTTGGGGAATAAAGCTGGCTATCTCATGACATTTGAGGAGCAGAGAGTGGGGTGAGAGCCAGAGAGGAATTCAACTAATGAACTTATCAGTGTATTAATCCATTGACAAAGGAATACACTCACGATCCAGTCACATTTCTAGGCCTCATTTTCAAGCATTGTTGCATTGTGGATCTAACCCTCAATACATGAGCCTTTGGGGGATGCTTCACATTTAAACCAAAATAACAATACTCATCCTCTCATAGTTTTATATTATGAATTTTCTAAATTTTACCTAATGTGCACATATTTTTATGTAGAAAAATTTACAACATTTACCTTTTAAAATGTCAATAGGGTAAAAATACAAAATATTACATTAGCTTTCTTGACTTTCCATCCCTCAAATATTGTTCAGCTTGCTTCTCTTTTACTGAATCCCCCAGAATAAATCAAATAAATATTAGGAATGGACAAGCTCTCCGGGGAGAATTACAGCTTCCTCCATCCATGGTTTGGCTTTTTGTGATTTTTAGATATCCCTGGTCAACCTCCATCTGAATTTTTTTCATGACTCCTTTAAGAGATGATTATATTCACATAATTTTATTATAGTATTTGTTAAAATTGTTTTATTTTATTATTAGTTATTGTTAATCTTCTATTGTGCCTAATTTATAAGTTAAATTTAATCTTATGTATATGTAGAAAAAACATAATACAAGGTTCAGGATCATTGGGGGGATCCTAGAATATATCTCCTGTGGATTAGGGGGGACAATTGTACTTTCTTTGTGGTTGGGCTACATCCCCAGCCCCTTTTTATTTTGAGATAAGATCTCACAAGATTGCTCAGGCTGAGATTGACCATGCAGTTTTCCTGTCACAGCCTCTCAGGAATACTGGGTTTACAGTTGCAGACCACCACGTTTGGGTGGTATAACTGTACTTTAAGATGTCCCTTCATTTCAAACTATGGTTATTTCTTGCCCATGAAAT